TGGACTACATGAAATGAAAACGGTACAACACATACTGTACATTGACTAGAGGTGAAGGAATGTGGATCCGTGTGTGTATGCACGCGTTTATTATGTTTGCTTTTGCGTGCGTGGATGTTAACGTGCAATAGAAATTGAGATTTCTTATGAGGAATTCCGTTGATTTTGACGCTGCAAGCATACTTTTGTGAATATTTGATTCGCTGCTATATATTCTAAAGATGCAAATTTTGCTTGTCGTTACCAATTGCAATTGCATGTGTGAAGCTAAATGGATATTGTTTTCTTTCACCTGCTTATTTTCTCTTAATCATTCATCTGCCGACAGCTTTAAACAGCTAAAACTAGTTTTGATGTCATATCTTTCGAAATCAAGCTGATACATCTTAGTGTGTGTAAATTTTGGTTGAATTCTGGAGGAAAAAAAACGAGAAGTGGAGGGTCTTGCACTTTCTCGTGTTTTTCTTCTTCGAGTATAATCCTAATTTGTGAGACAGAATTGTATGAAGGTTTTCTTGAATGTAATTGCTGCCGTTTTACCTGTGATAGGACGCATGGTTTTTACTCACTTTTTCACCACTATTGGAAGGATTGGATCTGTCTATGAATGTTTCACACATGACACGCTTTACTGTACCTCTCTTGCATTTTGTGTATCTTTGTATTTAAGGTAGAACATATCTAGCATGTCTTCGTATGAATTCAGTGTTAATGTAGAATGAAGAATAATAGTAAAAAAAAAGATATATATATATATTCAAGATACAAAGGGAAAATGCAAGTAAAGGCAGGTAGTTTTCATCATGAATTCTATCCACCCTTGAGAACAAGCTCTTTTGGAGAATGGAACCACGGATCACAAATGTAACGATAGGGCATAACTTGATCTTTTAACTTTTTTTATTTTTTTTTTGTTTTATTTTTTTTAGTGAGCTATCTTTCTATCTCAATAATCTGCATATTATAAGAAACAAGCTATTCACTGACTAATAAATAGAGATGAATAATAATAGCTGCGCTGGTAATGTTATGAGATGGAGGAATGCTCCACACACACACACACACACATATATATATATATGTGTGTGTGTGTGTGTGCGTGTGTGTGCGTGTGTGTGCGCGTGTGTGTGCACATACACACACACACATACGTATATATATATATATATATATATATATATATATATATATATATATATATATATATACGTATATATATATATATATATATATATATATATATATATATATATATATATATATATATATATATATATATATATACGCGTGTGTGTGTACATATATATGTATGCATGTATGTATATATATATATATATATATATATATATATATATATATATATATATATATGTATGCATGTATGTGTATATATATATGAATACATATATTCACACACACACACACACACACACACTCACACACACACACACACACACACACACACACACACACACACACACACACACACACACACACACGCACACACTCACTCACTCACACACACATATATATATATATATCAGCAGCAGCCTGAATCAATCCACTGCTGGACGTAGGCCTTTCCCCATCTTTTCCAACTTAGACTGTCTTGCGTTTTTTGTTCCAGTTTTGGCCCCAAAATTTCGTTATTTCGTCACGCCATCTTGTCACTGGTCTGGTCCTTGGCCTCTTTATGTTATCTATAGCGCAGTCGGTTACTTTCTTTGTCCAACTGTCGCCCTGTCTCCGACATATATGACCTGCCCATTGCCATTTTTTTCTTTTTGATGCTCCCAAGTATATCTTCCACTTTTGTCTGTGCCCTTATTCACGTCATCCTCATCCAATCTTTTAGGTTAATTCCCAGCATCAACCTCTCCATCCCTCTCAGGGCACTTATTAGTTTCCTCTCCAGTAATTTGGTTGTAGTCCATGTTTCTAATCAATAGGTCATAACTTGGAGGACGTATTGGTTAAAGACTTTTCTTTTTAAACATAATAGCAAGGTCCTCTTCGTATGCTACTGTGTCTGCCGAAGGCGCTCCGGCCTAGACTGATACGTCGCTTAATTTCCTCTTCGCCAGATGTGTTTGTCTGTACGAGTTGCCCTAGGTATATATACTTGTCCACTACCTCTAGCACTTGTACATGTATCTGCTCGAATTGAACTATACTGTTAAACGGGATCTTTTTCTTTTTCATCTTAAGTCCGACTTTCAGACTTTCCCTATTCAGATCGTTTATTAGTTGCTGCATTTGATTTGCAGATTCACCGAAGAGAACAATATCATCTGCAGATCTTAGATTGTTTAGTTATTCGTCTCCTATTTTGATAATTTTCCGGTCCATTCTAGCTCCTAGTTTGTAAGTAACTGAAATGAGGCTTATGGGTCGGTAGTTTTTTAGATCCTTTCTATCCCCTTATATATATATATATATATATATATATATATATATATATATATATATATATATATATATATATATATATATATATATA